CTTGTTACAAGAGGGAAAGAAGCTGTAGAAACTCTCCATGTATGTGTAGAGCCTGGATTAGATGCCAGCTGGCCTGGAGGCAGAATGGCCAGGGTGACCTCCAAAGCACCCCAGTGGCAGGAAGGAAGCTGTTTGACCCCTCTTGGCTCAACACACCCACAGAAGCCCAGCACTTCACTCCCACCCAGGGAGTGCTCTCGACTCCTGGCATTGCCTCTGATAAGCAGAACAAGGCTGGGTGGAATAATGGTCTGAGATGAGCTGGTAAGGGAGGAGAGGATGCTGTTCCAGAGAAAGAGAGGGAAGATGCACAAGTTGGTAAAAGACAGCTGAGCCAGCCCAGACCCCTTGGGTTTGGCTCCCATGGCCCCCACTGCTTAGCCCAGGGCCAGGATGGCCTGTCTTGTTCCTGAACTCTGTAGCCGAGGGCAGAGGCAGTTGTGGGGCTAGGAGGGGCTCTGTCTTCGTGACCTGGGGCTCTCACAGGAGGCGAGCCATCTGTAATGTCTGGAGTAAGGGTCTTGGCCAATGGAGGACACAGGCCTCCTCCCTAGCTGCTGCTGCTGTGTGACATGTACTGTAGAGGATGTGCCACTGCGTAAAGGGCCAGGACGCTGGCCCGGTGTTGGAGGCGAGTTCCCATTAACTGAGCAGCACCTTCTTGGTGCCAGGTGTTCACTGTACCGTCCACAGTGGCTGCACCAGTGCTCAAACCCAGGCAGCTGGTCCTAGATCTGCTGGTAGACAAGCTGGGTGAGATTTTCTGACTTCAGTTTTCTCCTTTGGTAATAGGTGTAATTGCTGGCCTTTCTACAGGCAGTAGGGAGGTTTACCGTGAAGTTGATGGGGCTAATGCTTCAAGACCATCACTAGTAATGTGATGTCCCTAAACCTTTTATTATTCTTTTTTTAACGTTTATTCATTTTTGAGGATGAGCGAGAGGGAGGGAACGGGGGAGGGGCAGAGAGTGAGAGGGAGACACAGAATCCGAAACAGGTTCCAGGCTCCCAGCTCTGAGCACAGGGCCCGATGAGGGGCTCGAACTCATGAGGGGCTCAAACTTATGAACCGTGAGATCATTCATGACCTGAGCCAGTGAGATACTCAACCAACTGAGCCACCCACGCACCTCTAAGCTTTTTATTTTTAATTTAAATTTGTAAAGTAGTTTTATTGGAATATAATTGCTATATAGTGAACTATACATACATATTTGAAGTGGATAATTTGGTTGAGTTTTGACAGACATATACACCTATGAAACCAATTACTATCATCAAGAGAATAAACATACCCATCTTAACCTAAAATGATCTTAGCCTAATTTTGGTTTATATTTTAAATTCTTTTTCTCAATGAGAGCCTTCCAATTTTTAGATGCTTTAGGCTCCCCGCAAATCTGGATTTGTTCCTGCATGGAGAGGGTCAAATGAGACCGGGATAAGAAATCACTTTAAAAATTATGTTGGACTAATCAGAAGTAAAAGGGTATTTGCTTTTCTATAACTTGTACCTTACCTATAGAAGGCTAAAGAGCCTTGTGGGACATTTGGCCAGTATCATATCACTATTTAACATTATCCCTTATTCATTTAACAATGTTTGTGGGAACCTGCTACAGAAAACTGCAGGCAGTGTTCTAGGTGTTGGGTGTGAATCCCTGTTCTCAGGAGCTTTCCTTCTGCTGGGAGTGGGGAGGAGGTAGGCACTGCTCCGAGTAGGCAGCTCAGTAAGTAGGCAGATCACATGGCATGTGAGAAGGTGCTATGAGAACAGTAAAGACAGTAGGCAGTCCAAGGTGGGTAGGCGGGGGCTGACCTCAGTTTTCAGGGGAGTGTTCAGGGAAGTGGTCTCTAAGGCAATGGCATCTGAGCAAAGAAGGTGTCAAGGGTGTGAAGGTGAGGTTGTGGGCCACATGTGACTGGGCTGAGAACAGGGCACATAAAGGCTTTCAGATGGGCATGGGTCAGGCAGGTCTTAGGAACAGCCAGGAGACCAAGTAGCAGGTGACATAAGTTCAGGGAGGGGCTGAGCTGGGGATGGAGTGAACATATCCTGTGGGTCTCTCTAGGCCATTGTAGGGGCTTGGACACTTATAATCTGAGGGAGATGGGAAGCCACTGGAGGGTGTTTGAGCCACAGGATTGCTGTGGCTACTGTGTTGAGAATAGGCTGATCAGGGGATCCAGGTAGAAGGCTATTCTAATAGTTGAGGCCAGGGAGGATGGGAGCTTGGACCACGGAGGGTAAGGTGGTGAGAAGTGTCTAGATTCCGGTTATACAATTGACCTTTGAACAATGTGGGGGTTAGAGATGCTACCCTCCCCCCAGACACAGTAGAAAATCCACGTATAACTTGAACTCCCCCAGAACTTAACTACTAACAGCCTGCTATTGACCAGAGCCTTATCAATAATATAAACAGTCGATTAAGACATATTTTGTATATCTATTCACTATATCCTTATAGTAAAATAAGCTAGAGAAAGGAAAATGTTATTTAAAAAATCCTAAGGAAGAGAAAATACATATGGTATTGTGCTGTATTTATTAAGAATAATTCATGTGTAAGTGGACTTGTGCAGTTCAAACCCATGTTCTTCAAGGGTCGGCTGTCAAGATTTGCTGATATACCCTTTATTTGACAAACAGGGCCAGATTTTGGAGATGCCGACCTGAATGGGGATGTGTAGTCTCTTGCTCTGAGGTGTTGAGAATCTAACAGAAAAGACAGATAGAACTGATAGGTTGCTCCCTGCACACAAGGTGTGGGCTAGAGGAGCAGCATGGGAACACAATGGTCTCTGATGCCATTCAGACGAGTGCCCCCTGCCTTTCCCACCACCCGCCCCGGGACTCTCCAACTTGCCCTTCTCAAGAGCATGTCCTCCAGCACTGCAGTCAGCTTCCTGGCTCTCAGGAACCTTCTCTCTCCCCTTGCTCTTCTCCTTGCTCCCAGGCTGGTCTCTGAACTACACTACTCCCACAGGCCCGTTTGTTTTACAGGAAAGGAAACTGAGCCAAAGTTAAGGTCTGTTTCCTAAGTCTATAAAAATTTGGTTGGAATAATCTTGAGAAAATACCCTAAAAAGGCCTGTTCTATTTATTTATTTATTTATTTATTTATTTATTTATTTATTTATTTATTTAATTTTATTTTTATTAAATTTTTCTTAATGTTTATTTTTGACAGAGAGAGAGAGAGACAGAATATGAGCGGGGGAGGGGCAGAGAGAGACGGAGACACAGAATCCAAATCTGGCTGCAGGCTCTGAGCTGTCAGCACAGAACCCAATACGGGGCTCAAACCCACAAACTGCGAGATCATGACCTGAGCCAAAGTCGGACGCTCAACCGACTGAGACACCCAGGCGCACCTAAAAGGGCCTGTTTTAAGAAGAGAAGTCTGGGTAAAGGTCCATGGAGGAATAAAATCCCATTGGCCACGGTCTCATAGCTCATTTGTGGAACCACTGGGCTAGCATCTGGCTCCCCAAATCCCAGTTCTGTGACCCGTGTATAGTCACCACTGGTGATGACTTAGACTCTCTGGCAAGTGATAATAGCACTTCATAGCTGCAACATGAGTGTCTCAAGTTAGACATGGGGCAGGACTGTTGAACTTTATTCAGACATTTGTTTAAAGGAGCCTTTGGAATACCTCTCCCTGGAGAGCTTTGAGAAGAGCCATCTTGCTGGATCCCTGTTTTAGGTGCAGACCAGCCGGCAGGTGATATCCTCAGGGTCTGATCCTCCCTCCCTTCTTTCCCTGACACAGACAGTCCAGTGCTCAGGCCAGCTAGTCTTTCTGGCAGATGAGACCTCTTCAGGGTGGCCTCTTAATTCAGCGTTGGCAGTGGGGAAAGGTCAGCTGGGGGGCCAGCTTGGCCTTGGCTGTGCTCTCTGCTTACAGCAGGGTGGCGGATAGCCTATTCATCACCACCACCCCACCCCCACCCCCTGCACCAGCAGTCTCCTTACTCATAGTCACAGTCCTCCAGGCTCAACAAGGGCCAGCAGGGCAGGGCAGGCTGTCGGCTGTGCCCTCTGGCCCCAGAGCTGGACCAGGGAGGTGGTAGCTCCTGCTGAAATCCCCTTGCCCTCCCTCTCCCCAGCCCAATGTCCTTCTTTATGGTTTAATCCTACCCAGTGGTCAAGGTCCAGCTGAAGGCTCACCTGACCACCCAACCTGAACTGACCCCTTGTGCTCTGAACACACTGTGTGTTCCCTGTCTGTGGCACGCACTGGAGTTACAGCATGGGCACACGTCTCTCCTCAGCTAGGTGGCAGTTTCTTTGAAGACGGAACCTCTTTTCATAATTGCATTTATAGTAGTAGAGGACACAGGTGGCTCCTCATAGTTTTCTGAGATCCCTTAGATGCAGCTTTAGCCCCTAGCAGGGTGGGCCCATGGCGCACACTCAGTATTACTTGTTGACTGGTTAGAGCCACGGGGCTGGAGTCGTGGTCTGTCTGGGTTTTCTTTGAGTTAAGCGCTTCAGACCTCCTCTCTGGTCTGTCTCAGCACGTATGTCCCCCATCCCCGCTGCTGCTCACAGACCAGACAAGACATCTTGTAAGGCCCTGCTCGTATGGAGGTGGTGGAAGCCGCGGGGACTGCACGGGGGATGGCCAAAGCCGAAGCGCTTCCCTGCAGCCTCTCAAGTGTGCAGAAGGCCCCAGGAGGAGGCAGGACTGTCAGCCTGCTGTAGAGTGGAGGGGAGGAGGTGGCCTCTGAGAGGGCTCCCCAAGTTTATGTGGGGCCCACAGCCCTGTCACCTCCTTGCTCTCAGGTTACCAGTCTCCCACCAAGGCCTCAGCTTCCTCTTGCTGCTGGGAGATCTGTGGGATCCAAGGAGGGCAGGAGGGAACCTGTAGAATCCTCACCCCAAGTACCCAGTCAAGGTGGCCAGAGGATGAGGGAAGAGATCTCCCAGATCGTCCTGTGTGCCTGCCTTTTGTCCTTCTTCTGCTGAGAAGCTGTTGGTGTCTCTGTAGGTCGGAATGAGCTGATTGCCCGCTACATCAAGCTCCGGACAGGCAAGACCCGCACCAGGAAGCAGGTGGGCCCTGAAAGATGAGTGTGGGTCCCAGGGGCAGGTACCCCAGTTCCAGCCTGCTCCCATGGTGGGCCAGGGCCTCTGTAGGCCCCAGTGTGGATTCCTGGTGGGGTTGGTTCAGAGGGGTTGTGTCTTTTTGGTGTGCCACAGATAGTTCAGTTTCCCTGTGGTTCCTGTTGCTATCAACTGGGAGGAAATCCCTCACCTTACAGGGGAGTCAGCAGCCCCCTCCCCTCTCCAGGACACCAGAAGAACAGAGGACAAAGTACTGGCACTATACTTGTATTTATTGCCAAAGTCTGGATTAGCTGGATATGGAGGGACTGAAGGCCCACCACTGACTGGCCCTTTCATTCATTCATTCCACAGATGTGGATTGAGGCTGAGGAGGGCGGTGCTGAGGGTCAGGGAGCCAGAATGGGGAGCACAGGCCTTCTGGGAGGTAGGGACAGGAGCCTTCTCTTCCTGCTGCAGGTCTCCAGCCACATCCAGGTGCTGGCCCGTCGCAAAGCCCGCGAGATCCAGGCCAAGCTAAAGGTAAGGCAAACAGCAGCAGTGGGAGGGAGGACCTAGGGCATGGGTGGGGCCAGCTTCCTAGAAATTGGAGCTCCTTTTCCAGCAGGAAAAGTCTTCCCTTGGGTTCAGGGGCTGGCTGTTTGTGTGGAGAGCCAGCATGCTTGTTGGTGTTAAGAAGACTGGGATTTAGCCTATAATCGTGCTCCTGTCTATATAGGGAATGACACTTGACTTCAGAGCCGTGTGTGTGTGTGTGTGTGTGTGTGTGTGTGTGTGTGTGTAAGTATGTGTAACCACCAGGCTCTAGAGCATCCCCCCTCCCTGGACAGAGTACTTCCCGAATCACAGTGGGATTGTCCTCCATACCCCCTTCCTTGAGGACGTCCTTGAGCCACTGGCCCCTTATTTGCCATCTGCTGAGCCTACAGGGTGGTCAGGCTTGGGAGGCACTGCTGTGGGTAGTGGGGTGGGGGTGGGTTGTACTGTGGGAGCTGGTGGAATTCCTTTCTGCACTCTGCTCTCTGAGATGGGCAGTTCTCTCCCCTCCCCAGGTCAGCCCTACCTTACAGGGCCATGCCCCACAGGACTCCCCCTGGGGCACTCTGTTCCCCACAGGACTTAGGCCTCCTGGTCGCTGGAGCCAGGGGACCCTTTTGGTGAATGGCAAGAGGGAGTGAGCCCCCACCCCACCATAGACACGCTTGTAGTAGAGTTTTCCCAGCTACTTGGCAGGAAGAGCTAACATCTGAGGGAATCAGACTGAGTCCAGCAGTTAACACACTTTTTTTTAAGCAGCCAGGTCCCCCCTTTCCCCCCCAAACAAAATATCACCCCCATATGTTATCAAAGGGGCTACTCCAGTCAAAGGTAGGTTAGTGAGGAATAGGCCAGAGACCCTGCTCCCATCTGCTTCTGATGCTCTGTGGCTCTTGAACCCCAAAGTAGCTCATAACCCAGTTAAAAACCCCTGAACTAGAGGAACTTGAAGGTCCCGTGTGGCTTCAGTTGTCCGTGATCCTGACATGGGAGGCTCCAAATGAGTGGTGGGAACTCCCAGGAAGCCGCACCCCGCTGCCCACTCAGCCCAGCTGTCCCCAGCCCCCACAGCTGCAGCCCGGCACCTCGTTCCTTTGTCCCTGGGACAGCTGGCTGGGCCTCAGCTGTCACTCCCTCTCAAGCCAGCACACGTACCCTCAGACACCCTTGGGTCCTGGAGTCCAACTTGAGCCCCACTTTCCCTCTCCGGTCTGCCTCTCACTGGGACCCTGGCAGGGGGCCAGAATGGAGACAAGACTTTACAGTGTTCTGTTTACAGCCATCCAGGGAAACTTTTAATTCCCTTGGGGACCATCTGTATGGGCACATTTGCTTCAAGGATTCGCACCTACCTTTGTCCACATGCTGTAACTTGGAGGCCAGGGAGAGCCTTCGTAGACCACTGGATGGACATCAAGGGCAGCCATGAGCCCCTTAAATAATATGCAAATATTTATATGAGTTTTCTTGGGGAGATTGGTTTGAGGATTTTGTCATATTCTCAAAGGGGTCTGTGACCTAACATAATCCCTGGTGGACAGACTTCTATTAGATAGAAATCCTCCAGGACCCGGGATTTGGTGTAGCATGCTCTGCCCTTGTACCATGTGAACTTGAATGAGTCACTGACCTTCCTCAAGCTCCATTTGGTTTAAAATGTAAAATGACAGAGTTAAGCAAGTTGATGTCTGAGGTCCTCTCCAGCCCCAAAATTCAGTGACTCCCTGGCCTTATAGCCTGGCCATTTGATGTCACTCCTCATAATGTCCTTCCTACTTCCCCTTGATTCCTGTCCCACCCTGGTAAGGACGTGGTTTCCTGAGTCCCAGTCATTTGTTTAGATCAGCTATCCGGGAAGGGACGTAAGTGGCTGACATTGAGCGGATGGGGCTCTCTGGCTTCATAATGTAGTTGTTAACCACAGAGGTCTGCAAGCTTTGGGAGGGTATGGCCTGCTGCATCATACATGTCCTCCTGGAGGGAGAGGCCTGAGCCAGCTGGCCTGGGCGTGTTTGACTTCTTCCTCCTGAACAGTGCAAGTGTCCTTGGGAAGAGGCCACCTTATGCTGATTAGCTCCCTCTTTGGTTATCAGGGAGCCTCTGAGAGCAAGGCCCAAGTTTGACCCCAAAAGGACAGTGGTTTGAGGATGACCCGTCCACTCAGAAGGGTTTCCTGTGTGTTCTGTGGTGTGCGCTGGGTGCCGGCAAATATCAGTGTCCATCCTCCTCGCTCCCTGCCCCAGTGTCCTCCGCCCCCCTGCCCCAGCCCTGCAGAGGCCCAGAGGTAAATTGATAATGCCAACCGGGGCCAAACTCTCAGGCCAACCATCACCACTGTCAACACCGTAGTCACATAAATTCTCTGAGCCTCGGTTTCTTCATCTTAAAATGGGGATCCTACTGGTCCTGTTGGCCTCACAGGAGTGCTGCGATGTTCAGAGTCCACGTGTGGGTCACCTTGTGCCAAGTGAGTGCAGATGGTCCTGGAGAGGCTGAATGGAGGGGCCTTTGGAATCCTGCCCCACAATCACAAGGTGTTGGGATGCTGTTGGGGGCCACCAAGGTGGTGCCCGCCTCACAGGGCTACGGTGGGGACTCAGTGAAACTGTCATAGAACGGCACCTGTAGGCTGCAGGGACCTCCATCGCTTCTCCGGGATGACTCGGTTATGACTCAGGACAGATCTGGGTCTACCAACTTCATTACCAAATAACAGCTAATTTATTTTCTCTGTTTAAAAATATTCATCGTAAAGATAGAATTTCTAATCTGAGCTCCTGAGTTGACATAATCCAATCTTTTGGCCTCAATTAAGCTATACACGCTGAATAATACTTGCCATTCCAGTCTATAAATGTGGTCTTATTTTGGACAAAAACACAGTTCCCATCAGGCTTTTTGAAATACAGAAATCTCAGTACTGAAATACGGTCTCATCACTTTTGAAGACCTGTGGGATTAGGACACTCAGGATAGGAACTGCTGGCTTACACACATATAAAAATTTTTACTACTATTATTATCATCATCACTAATGTCATTAAGTGCCTGTTTGTTCCTCACATATGCTTCCCTGAGTACTTCTTTGTTCAGAGCCGGTGCAGGGTGAACCGTTTTTGGGGCCTTTTGACCCAGGGAGGGCAGACCGTACGTGTTTACATCCTGACATGGAAAAGTCTGGGGGTGCCTTGGGTGTCCACAGTGCAAGGGGAGACCCCTAGGGCAGGCCTGAGACAGGTGGGGCCACAGGAGATCGCCCCATGCCTCTAGACAGTTTGTGTGACCGAGGATGACCCCTACTGTCCATTCGAGGAGGTCTCTGACATATTTATGTATCATCTACTATGAGCCAGGTACCATGCCAGCTGCCAGTGGTGTGGAGGCGAGCAAGGACTAAAAAGCTTCTGTTTTCAAAGTATCCCCGTGGAGACACCGCCTGGCAGATGGTCTCCAAAAGGCCCTTTAAGCTCTAATAAAATAGGCTGGACACGTATTTTGCCCCTTTGACAGATGAGGAAACTGATCAGAGAAACCAAGTGACCTGCACTTAGTCACAAACAAAGTTAATTGCACTGCAGGGGCATAAGCCTCAGCCCTCAGGGCCTTGTCCAGGGCTCTGGCCACTGGCGATAGGACAGCTTCCCTGAGCACAAGCCCGGATCCCGCCTTGCCCATGCCTGCCCTAGTGACCACTGCTGAGGCCCTCCCTTCCAATGTCTCCCCAGGACCAGGCAGCTAAGGACAAGGCCCTGCAGAGCATGGCTCCCATGTCGCCCGCCCAGGCCATCTCCGCCACAGCCTTCCACAGTAAAATGGCCCTCGCCCGGGGCCCAGGCCACCCAGCAGTCTCAGGGGTAAGTGGGGCTGCCTGGAGCCAGAGGCCACACCAGCCCCTCCTTCTCACTCCTCCCCCTCCTGAGGAGCCAGAGGCACTGGCCAGGCCACATTTCTCTCACTTGAGTCCTCCAAGGCCAGGAGAGCCAGGGGGAAGGAGGGACCAAGGGCCAAGGGGCCACGCTGAGGCACAGCTCTGCTGGCATCGGCACCACCTTCTCGGGGGCCTTGCCGGTGACACAGCAGACCTCCCACAAGGGGCAAAGCAGCTCCCATTAGCTGACCAACCAAGGAGCTCTACAGAGTTGGCTTGATTGACAGGTGAGGGGGCTGATGCCTGAGTCTTTGGTGTGACACCAGCATGCCTCTGAGCAGCTCTCCACCACTCGGCCCTGTCCCGGCTCCCCCCTCCCCTCTGCTCCTCAGCACTGTTCTCTTTCCAGTCGGAGAGCTGATGTTCAGGAACAAACGCTTGTTTGGGTTTTAAATTTCTTGGCCATGGCCAGCTTGGTCACCCTTTCAGAATGATCTAGAAAGGCTCCTCCTTTCTAGGGCTGTGTCCTCACAAGGTTTTCTTGGCTATAGGGTCTACATGGGTCTTCACCATGCACCCATAGCACTGCCCTAGGCGTGTAGGGAAGGACCTCACCCCATGCTCGGTGAGCCTCTCGTCCAGGAGTTTTCAAAGTGTGCTCCAGAGACTGCTAGTCCATCAGAATATTGCATAGATAGGGAACAAAATAATTCTGTGCGTAAGGAAGTTTGGGACGCTTACAACTAAATAGGTTTCTTGACCTTGGACTGTTCAGGCCTTATGTGCTGCTATGCACTGTGGGCCTCTAAGGGAGGAATACAGTTGCTGTAATTCTAAACCTGGGGTTTCTCTCAAGGAGCACCTTCTTGGCAGAGTGTGTCTAGAGACTAGAGCTCCTTGAAACACACTTTGGGACACTGCTGTAACCTAGCCCAGTGTAGCAGTGCTGACTCTCCTTACTGCCCACTGGGTCTAGGCCCCCAATCCTGCCTTCCAGATGAGGCCCCTGCTCGGTCTTCCCACACCACGGCCCTGGTGCATGGGGCTGTGCTGACTCTGTGCTTTTTGCCTCCTCAGTTTTGGCAAGGAGCTTTGCCGGGCCAAGCTGGAACATCCCATGAGTGAGTATGGCCTGCTACCAGTTGCTCTCTGAACTGAACTTGAGCCTGTGAACTTGTGCTGTGGAGCCTGGCTCCCAGTATGGGACAGGGTAGCAGTCTGGGGACAGCCTTTCAGGAGGGGCTTGAGCTTTGGGATCAGGCTGTCCTGCTTTTTAGGCAGTAGCTCAGTCTGTGGTGTGGACACTCTGGGGTGGCATTTGCTGAAACTCCAGTCTGTCCAGGGTGAAACAAGGCCAGAGCTTGGGACCCTGAGGGAGAGAGGCTAGGAAGCAGACCTCTGGCTGGCTTGGGAGGGAAGGAAGGAGGGAGGAATGGATTTTCCCAACAGACATGCTGCTTCTGTGGGTCATCCATGAAACTTGAGGGACTTGGCAGGGGAGGGAGCAGGTGGCCAGAGCCCATTAAGGCCACTTATGCTCAGACCACCGGGGCCAGCCACACACAGCGTTGGACACTGCCAGAGACTCCTGGGCTGCAACCTGCCCAGGGCTTACACCTCCTCTCTCCTGTCTCCGTAGTGTGAAACCTTTCTCTCAACAAACCTACGCTGTCCAGTCTTCGCTGCCTCTGCCAGGTGGGTCGGCAGCGCACAGCTCCCGTGCACCTCGCACACCTGCAGCTCCTGCCCTCCAGGTCCCGACCCCCCGACAGCTGGATGCCTCATGCCCCTGTTAGATGCTGCCCTGGCGTGTGCTCAGTCTCCTGGCCCCACCCCATTCTGTGCTCCTGCCACGCACACCTCTGCCGTGCACCAAGCCCGCCATACCTCTTGGGTTGTTTGATACACTCAGGGCTTCCAGGAGTGCACACGGGTCAGAGGGGGCGGTCCTTGTGCCCCAGGGCAGCTGTCCCCCAGCCATCTTTCTATGCTGCATGTGTGTCCTGTGCAGCTTGGCTCCTGGGATGGCTTCCCTCTTGGTGATGCTAAGATGTCTCTTTCAAAATGGGAGGTCCAAGGAGAGCGTGGCTTTGTTGCCTGGAGCCACTTGTGAGCAGAGGGAACACTCCAGGGCAGAGGCCTGGAGCATGGGTAGGGCCCCTCCCTCTCACTGCTCAGGTAACCTGCCCTGTCTTTGCTTCTTTCTCATGGAGGTCCCTTACCTCCTTCCTCTTTGAAGGGCAAGACAGGATCCTTCCCCTTAACCACCTTTTCTGGCTCGGGGGATGACTCCCTGCTGACCTTCTGGCCTGGCTGGTTCTGTTCTGAGAGCAGCCCATCACCCTCCTGGTGTCCTTATTGCTACTTTCTCCCAGCACGAGCGATCCACCCTCCTGTGTGTCCCCTCCTCTCCCTGGCCTCACTGTCTTGGTTCAGGCCCACCTACTCTTGCCTGGATTACTGCAGCAGCCTCTTAACCTGACACCGGTTTTATCTCGCTTCCCCTCTTCACCCTGTAATTTACCCCAGGGACCTTTATAAAGCATCAATCCCACCATGTGGTTCCTAGGCTTAAACTCCAATCCTAAAATAAATAAATAAATAAATAAATAAATAAATAAATAAATAAATAAATAAATAAATAAATAAATAATAATAATAAAAAAAAAAACTCTGTAGTAGGACTTGCATGGACCTCCTTGGTAATTTAGCTTTCTCTCCTCTCCCTCCTTCCCTCCATGCCCCCAGCCCCGCCCTGCCTCTGGGCTGTTGCTCAGGCCTCCAGGAAGCTCCTCTGCCCTGCCCCCACCCAGTTTAGGCATCCTGAGCGCTCTGCACCCCCATCTGACACTTGACACTCTATTGCCAGTATCTGGGGTTGGGGGCAACGTCTGTGGCTGACTGGTCTGTGTCTTCTGTGTATCCAGTCATGTCTGGCACATAGCACTTGTTCAGTGTCCAGCATGGCCCTCCTCCCACCCTTGTGTTTCTTCTCTGTCTCCTTCCTTGAATGCTCCCGAGTTACCCACCTCAGCATGTGGGACTTCCCAGCCTGGAAAGCTGGTGTCTGGAGTTCTGTCTCACTGCTTTCTCACATCCCATCAGTCACTGAGGCCCAGGATGTGCCTCCTCTATCCCTTACTCTTCCCTTCACTACACCGCTTTCATTCAGGCCGTCATTTTTCCACTGGGAAAACATCCCTGGGACCAAGCCTCTGACCGCCTCACCCCTGCCCAGTCCTTCCCTCACACTGAGTAGGATCTTTCAGAAATGCATGTCTGATCAGTTCACTGTCCTCCCTAAAATGCTCTGTCCCTCTCAGACTCTCAGGCTAAAATTCATGCTGCTTAGCACAGTTCCCCCGTCCGGCTCATCTCTTGTCTTCGTTTCCTGCCACTGGCACAAACCCACCCACTCTCCAGTTCCTCTGAGGACGGGGCTTCTCACAGCCCCTAGTTTGCCTCTGCCGTGTCCTCTGCTTGGAGCACCCTTTCCCCTTTCTCCTCTCCTGCCTGTACTTACTATTTCCTTCAAGCATCACTTTCTTGGGAAAAACCTTCCCTGCCCACCCCCAAGTGCATACTTTGTCAATTCTTATCACACTCATTACTTCTGCTTTTAGCAAACCTGTAAGGAATGCCAGGCACTGTTCTAGGGGCTGGAGAGACTGCAGTGAACCGATCCGGAAACTTCCAGTTCTCACGGGGCTTCCATCACTATAGCAGTCAGTGTGTCTGGTTATCTTTGACCGGACCAGAAGCTCCTCCACAAGAACGTAGTTGTGCTGCTCGGAAGCCCTCAGCCCAGCTGGCATCCCGGCCCCTCCACGCGGCATCCATTTTCCCTTGAGGACAGTTCTGTACGGGGGGCCCAAGGGGCCTAACTTGTACCGGGCCAGGCACTCCCCTCCACCACCCCTGCCGGGGGGGTCCCATTTAGGGGAGGCAGGAGATGATTCCCTTGCCAGCACAGGGTCTCATGGCTGGGCCTGGGATCCTCGCAGAGGCTGAGGCGTGGACCCGTCCCCATGTGCCTTTCCTGCTGCATGCAGGGTTTGAGTCTCCTACAGGACCCGCCCCATCGCCCTCAGCGCCCCCGGCACCCCCATGGCAGGGCCGCAGTGTGGCCAGCTCCAAGCTCTGGATGTTGGAGTTCTCTGCCTTCCTGGAGCAGCAGCAGGACCCTGATACGGTAGGTCCTGGCCTGGGTCTGGCTGGCTCTCCCACCCTCTCCTGTTCCCGGAGGTTCTTGCTCCCATGTCTTTCCAGCTCTTTTTCCACCTGCTTCTGGCTTCCTGCCCTGGCCTTCTGCCCCACTCCACTTCTGGGTTTTACTTAGATGTCCTGTTGCTTCCCAGTCTTCCCTTCCATTGGCCCTCCCCCTTTCCTTCATCCTCCCTCTCTCTTCTTTCCTCACTTCACCTCCCTCTTTCCCTGACACTGTTGATGCTCCCACCCCAAAGCCATCCCCTGGTTTCTTTTTCTATCCTGGTTCTCCTGGCCTCTCCCTCTGCTGCTCCCTCTCTGATCTGTACTCTTCCCTCCATGCTCCCTGCCCTCCCACCCAGCACCGCCCCCCCCTTTCCCCTGTGGCTCTGAGGAGCCTCCTGTGTCTGACCCATATCTTTGGGACAGTAGCAGAGAGAGGAGCCCCATCCCCACCCTGTCTCCTTCAGGGTCCCGTGTCCCTGGTGACCAGCGTTACCTGCAAAGGTCAGAGGAGGAGGAGGAGCTAGAGAAGGCTGGGCTGACAGGGTGCCAGAGCCTGGGGGACTTCACAGACCATTTCACACTGATGTTTTCAAACTTGTTTTTTCAGCTGAGGCACCCATTAATCATACTCTTACTCAGAAGCCCAGTGGGTACAACAGAAGAAGTAGACTTTGGTTGTAGCCAGGTGCCTGTAAGGGGACACAGAGGCAGCCTAGCCCCCATCTATAGGGTGGAGCACTGTTTGAAAACAGCTTATCTAGGTCAGTGGTCTGACGTGACAGATGAGATAACAGAGGCCCAAAGATAGAAAATGCCCACATAGCCAGGGCAAGAATGGTACACATAACTGCAATTTATTGAGTACTGACTAGGTGCAGGCACAGCACCAAATGCTTTATACCCGTTAACTTTGCTTTACATTTGATCCTTTTACTGTCTCCAGTTGGGAAACTGAGGCCCAGAGAAGTGAAGTCACGTGCTCTAGGTGGCATGGCTGTGATCTGAGCTCTGGGCTGCTGTGTCTGCCCTGATACCTTCTACCTGTCCCTGAAACCAGCTGTTCTCTCCACAGTATAACAAGCACCTGTTTGTACACATTGGCCAGTCAAGCCCAAGCTACAGTGACCCCTACCTCGAAGCCGTGGACATCCGCCAGATCTATGACAAATTCCCAGAGAAAAAGGGGGGACTCAAGGAGCTCTTTGAACGGGGACCTTCCAATGCCTTTTTTCTTGTGAAATTCTGGGTAAGCCCTTTGATAAACTCTTCCTTCCAGTCCCTAGTACGTTGATGATAATGAGGAGAACGGAGGAAGAGTGAGCATAAGGTGCCCTTTCCATGAGTGGAAACCCGGGGAAGGCAGGGCCAGTGCAGAGTGGGGAAGCAAGCACAAAACGGCCACACAGTGGCGGGAGGCTGAGACAGGGAGCCAGCCAGTGGTGCTGGAGGGCCAAGCTAGCAGAATCAGTCCCTCTTCTGAGAGGTGGTGATGGCATCCGGGTCTGGCCAGGAAATGCAGCCTCTAGGGGGCTATAGCGCTGCAAACAGACTTCAGGAGACACTGAAGGGGGCATAGGCAAAGAGCCATCGTGGAATGTTTGCCAACTCCTGAGCTGGTTTCAGGGCTGGAACAGAGCAGCTCTTGGGCTGGGCAGGGCTTGGAGAAGTAGGCCGTAGGATTAGGATAGGTCACCCCAAGAGGAATACCTACCCAGCTTGTCAAACAGCTGAGCCCATAGGCTTTGCCTCTGCTGCCTTCCCTGCCTCACCCCTGGACGGGTTCTGTGTTGGGAGAGCCCCCTGCTTTTGAAACATCTCCTCTAAGACTAGGAGGTGTAGTACCTGCGCTGGGAGCTTACCTTCTGGGGGCCCAGTATACGCAGAAAAGGGGTGCAGGGAAGAGAGTCAGACAAGTGCACACTAAGCCAGTGGTGAGGAAGTGCAGAAGTCCTTCGGGCATGCTGATTGGAGCCTTTGGACAGTTTCAGAGTATTTTACATATAATTCCAGGTGGCTTAAAGGCCCCTGGCTGGGAATCTCCAGTCTGGGCTTCTATAATCAAACCCACGGGCCTGGCTATCTTCAGAAGAGACAGTGCTAGAACTGAGACTCGGGGCCCCTGAGCTTTAGGGTGCTTGGCTTTTACACACTGCAGGCTTGGTGTATGAGCAGGATGGAAGTTGGACCTGGGCCTTTAGGGATGGGCCAGATCTATCAGGATCTGAGCCTGGCAAGGGCTGGTACAGCCTGGGGGAGACATAAGGAAGTGGGCTCTAGAGGGGAAATCATGGGTACAGGTGTGTGAGAGGGAATAATAGAAAATAAGACTGGAAAGGGGAGTTGGATCCTGAAGGTCTTGGTCATACAAGGTCTGGGTTTTAATCTATCCTGGGATGAAAAATAGGTTATATTTTCTTTCACTTTATCTTATTTTTAAATCAGTGAATATTAACTAATACCAAAGGCTTATAGTGAAAAGTGTCAGATTTTTGTCCCACTCCTCCCCAACCCCAATCCCGATCCCCAGAGGCAGTTGATGTAAATTTTCGCTTGTTTATTCTAGGTTTTATCTCCTGAGTTCAAAGTTCTACCTTTATATTGCTATACCTTGATATCACAACTAAGACATTTTGTATTTATTCCAGTACTGTAGAAAAGCATCAGCAATGTTATATCACTTTCCCTCTCATCACCTCAGTACTATCATATACAGTAAGTTGTATAATTTAATAAAAGCAATAAAATGTTTACATTTTTGACCATGCAAAATGACTACCAGAGAGCCAAGAATAATGCTTATGATGTAATTATGTGTTATGATCACGTTTTATTTTTTTGTACAACTTTCTTGTTTTTTTCTTACAAATAAATGGCTTTCTTACTTGCATATTTCTAAATAAACCTATTATTAAAATTTTACAAATCGTTCCATCATAACCATCATACAAATTTTTTTTTTTTTATTAAGTTTTTCCCCAAATGCTCAAACCTATCAGATCATTCATCAGTTTACCCTTTCTCCTGGAGATTTTCCTCCCGGGTGCCTCTGTTCTGCTCCAGTGACTGGTTATTCTCTACACCTAGACTGCTTCCACTTTTCTCCTGTATTGAATCTATGGCTTTCCAGATCTCCTGTTTCTCTCTGTTTGGTGTCCCACTTATTTTGCTGGAAAACATTCTCTAGTACCTCCCTAAGAAAAAAATGTGTGATAGATAAATGTTCTAAGTCTTTGCCTGTTTGAATGCCTGTTTTGGGGGACCAGATCAATAGTTTGGGTAGAGAAACTAGGTCATAAATCATTTTCCCAGAAAGGATTTGCAAGAATCATTTTTCAATGTGTTGCTCCATTGTCTTCAAACACTAGTAGTCTCATTATATCCTAATTCTCTATCCTTTGTTGTGCCACTGAGTTTCGTTTTTGTTTTTTATCTCTGAAAAATTTGCATTTTCCTTTCTATCCCTTATGTTCTTAAGTTTCACATTCATGAGCTTTGGGCTGTCTGTGTTTTTACTTTCTAATTTTTAAGCCAGGCACTTTCAATTGTGACATTAGTATTTCTCAATTTGGGGAAATTTACTTATATTGTTTCTTTCCCTCCGTTTGCTCTGTGTTCTTTACCAAGAACCCCTGTTAGTCTAATGTTGGATTTCTTGGACCTATCCTCTATGAGTTTTATAATTTTTTTGTTGATTTTCCAATTCATCTTCTTGGAGATTTCCTTAACTTTATCTTCTAATTCTTCTAAATTAGTTAAGAATGTATCTGAGTGTATAGTTCATAAAACCCAAAGTAACAGTGGCATAAAGATGTAGTTTATTTTTCTTTCATGTAAAGTAAGTCGAGATGGACTGTCTAGGCTGGTCCAGCAGCTCCTTGAAATCACTGGGGCCTGTCTCCTTTCCAACTGTCTGCCATACACAGTGCATGGCTTCTGTCCTCAAGATCATGGCTTTTGGAGTTCCAGCCATCATATTTATCTTCCAGTTCCAGCCATCAGGAAGGAAGAAGCCAACTTCGTTCCCTCTATGGAGCCTTCTTGGAAGTCCCACACAGCACCTAATTATGTTGTATGGTTGCACCTAGCTGCAAAGGAGCCAGGGAAATGTACTCTTTTGGTGGAGTAAACTGCCATTCTCAATAAAATTAGGGTTCTGTGACTGTAGAAGAAGATGGATGAGTCTTTCAGTTGCTAGTGTGTCATAGTTCAGTTGGTGGCATTTTCCTATCTTAGTCATTCCAAAGATCTTGGCACATCACACAGTTAGTGGTGGATTAGATCAATGGAATATGGTGGCATTCTCTGCACCACCTTCTGTCAGATATTTAACTTTGACCATGACATTTTTAAGAGTTCCTTTTTGTTCTTTGAGTGCATCCTGATCTTGTTTCATGACTACAGTTTTTCTCTTCCTTTCTGGGGATACAAAGTTAGAATCATTTTTTAAGTTTCTTCTCCTTTCTTTGTTTCCTTTTAATCCCTTTTTCTATCTGTTTTGATGTCTGTATTTTAAGTTGGACAGTTTCCTAAAATGGTCATATTTTTTGGTCCATATATTTTTTTTTAATTTTTTTTAACATTTATTTATTTTTGAGACAGAGAGAGACAGAGCATGAACGGGGGAGGGTCAGAGAGAGAGGGAGACACAGAATCTGAAACAGGCTCCAGGCTCTGAGCGGTCAGCACAGAGCCCGACGCGGGGCTCGAACCCACAGACAGGGAGATTGTGACCTGAGCCGAAGTCGGATGCTCAACCGACTGAGCCACCCAGGTGCCCCTGGCCCATATTTTTTTAATAGCTTTCTTGTCGTATAATTCACCTGCCATAAAATTCACTGACTTAAAATGTATAGTTCAGTGTTTTCTAGTATATTCACAGAGTTGTGCAGCCAGTCAATTTTAGAACATTTTCATCACCTCCAGAATAAGCCCCATACTCTTTAGCTACCACCTCCTGTGCTCACTCTCCCAGCCTTAGGCAACCACTAATCCTGTCATTATAGCTTTGACTTTTCTGGACATTTCATATAAATGGAATCATACAATATGTGATCCTTTGTGATTGGCTTCTTTCACTTAACATAATGTTTTCAAGGTTCAGCTGTGTTATAGCATGAATCAGTACTTGGTTCCATTTTATGGCTCACTTAGACTCCGTTGCATGGATATACCAAATTTCGTTTATCTCTTCATCAGTTGGTGAACTTTTGTGTTGTTTCCAGCTTTTATGAATAATGCTGCTGTGAACTTCATGACAAGTTTTTGTGTGGCCGTAGGTTTTCATTTCTCTTGGGTAGACACTTGTGGAATTGTTGAGTCATATGGCAACTCTTTGCCTTTTTGAGGAGCTGCCAGACAGTCCCCCAAAGCAGCTGCACCATTTTACATTCCCCCCAGTAGTTATATGAGGGTCCCAGTTCCTCCAGACCCATGCTGACAATTGATATTTTCTGTGATTATACTCATCCTAGTGGGTATGAAGTGGGATTCCTTGTGGTTTTGATTTGCATTTCTCTGTGCTTATCATTTTTGTATCTTCTTTGGAGAAATGTTTTTTGAGCTCCTTTGCCCATTTTTAAATTGGATTGTCTTTTATTATGGAGTCATGAGTTTATATATTATACATAGAAGTCCCTTATTAGATGTGCGGGTTGGAGATTTGTCTCCCAGTCTGTCAGCTCTCTTTTCACATTCTTGATAGTGTCCTTTGGAGCACAGAGGGTTTTCATTTTGGTGAAGTCTGAAGTTCTTTTGTTGTTTACGCCATGCCCATATTTAATAGTTATTGGGAGCTCTGTGTGCAAGGTAGGACTTGACATCTGTTTTTTTTGTTTGTTTGTTTTGTTTTGTTTTAGGAAATCAATAAATGTCAGTATGTTTGTTAGACCTTTTGTTCCTTGAGGTGGCTCAGTTTCTCCATAGAAGACTCCTTGAGTTGTGCCCCTGGAAGGGGTATACGTGGTCACTGCATCCGAGGCATGAGGCAGCAGGAAGGGCTGGGGGGAGCCAAACATTTCTTATGCGGGTTTCACGTAATTCTGTCTTCCCTGTTCGGGCCTGCCCAGGGTCCCTGAAGCCCAAAGCCCTCCTGTTTAATTTCTGAAGATGATTATTCCCTCGTCTTTTGCTGAAGGGTGGGAGAGGTGGCCCGGAGGCCTAACCGTCCTTGGTACTGCCTTTCAGTCAGTTCCTTGTGTAGAAGCCTGTCCCTCCCCTGCCCCCACTGTCCTGGTCCCTCCAGGCCAG